GTAGGCAGTAAAATAGGTGCAGTGTGGTTCAATAGAGCTCAAACTCCCTGCAACACTACAATCATATAATCCCTCCACCCTTTTCCAGTGAGAGGAAAACAGCAAGGTGTGTGTGTTACGTCATATTTGTAAACAAACTGTCATCGCCCAACTCACCTGCTATGTAATATGCTGGTTAGATTTATCATCCACATTAAGGGCAGATGTGTGCAAAGAGGGGACCTTACAATGTATATTCAACAAGCATCTAAAGAGTTGAGAGGCTGTTTGTACGCGGAGCAAAGTAAGTTGGAAGTACATGTCTATAGCTGTAGGTAGATGTTTGTGAAAGTCAGGTGTATTGAGTGAAACATATCCATAACAGACTGTTCACAACCGACATAACATAATGATTGGATTTTGTGAAGCGTCGTGAGAATTTCTGTGAGGTATGATTCACTCCAGATAACCCGTGTCACCATGATGGTTTCACCTTTCTTGGCCTGTTTCAATTTAAGGATATTAATTCCTTATTGAAAACCTTTTACATTTGTTACAATTGCATCTGAGAGTTTGGGGATTAGCGATTTTACACTAACCTTGTTTGACACAGTGTGATGGATGAAAATATAAACATCAAAGACTTAATTTAATTAAGTACCACTTAAATGTATTGCAAGATTATGTCTTGGTTGTAAGGGTTGGTCCCATGGGGTTTCTGGGTAGAATTGGTCCCCAATATACTATGCTTGTCGTAAGAGGTGACTAAGTTTGTTTGTTTGTTGTTTAACCTCGCACTCAGCAATATTCTAGCTATATGACGGCGGTCTGAAAATAATCGAGTCTGGACCAGAAAATCCAGTGATTAATGTCATGAGCATTGATCCACGCAATTGGGATCGATGACATGCATCAACCATCCGACCATCCGATCCCATTAGTAGCCTCTTACGACTAGCATAGTCGCCTTTTACAGCAAGCATGGGTTACTGAAGACCTGTTCTACCGCGGATCTTCACAGGTCAGGTGACTTAGTGGATCGGTTGTTAGTCTTTTTATCAGTCGCATGGATCGTTACTCAATGTTCGTGGTGTCAGTGCTTGGTGGGGTCCATACTTGTTTATTTGACATGATATGCATTTCCTTCCACTATTCGTCACAATGGCAAAGCCTAATCCTGATTCAGGCATCTGATATTTCTGTCTAATTCCATCTTCTTCATTTCTCCCTGGGTCTATCCCACCAGGGTTCAGGCCTAGACCTGGTTGAGGCCCCCACCCACCAACCAATCAACCCCCTGCACACACACCCACCCCCACCCCCCAGTTTGTCTCACTTTTTTGATTGTCATCCTTCAGTCACATGCCTGTTGATCCAACAACGGATAGCCTGATCAGTAGTTTCTGATTAAGGGAGTTCAGCAGTTTATACATGTTTTCTGTATGGATAACTGTTTGGCTCTTCTAACAAGTTATACTTTTGGACCATTGAAAATTTCAATGCTTCAATAGTTTGATCAGAGGTTACAGCCATATACTATCAGCAGGGACAGAAATTCATGCTGGCCCATTAGCCCAGGTCAGTTTCAATTATGGTTAAGTTTCCTAAGGGCTAGTAGAATTTTCAACATGTTCCTATATGTTATCACTAGTCAGGCTAGAAGACTTCTTATGATAATTTCTATCCCTGTATCATGTGCTTTCACCACACCTTCTATGGAGTGGAGTCTTCAGCTATATAGGTCACATTGTATATTACTGAATTGATCAGCAGGCGATCATAAACCTATCCTTGTCTTTGCATATTCATGTCCTAACAGCAGCAAAATGTGAACACTCTGTAGGTTTTACTGAAAGATTCTGCATGGACTTCATATTTGGTGGTTAGTTCCAAGGGAGGTAACTCATCAGACCTTTGCGTCCCTCAGCCTGAGCTGTTGGGCCTGTTCCATTACTTTCACTTTGTATGCATCATAAAAAGATGTGTTTTTTTCATTATTATTGAAATCAACCCCTGTCCATTAACTCACTCACTAGTTCAACCCCTGTCAATTACCTTATTAGACGTAATAAGCGCCCTGCTCTAATAAGCGCCCAAAGCGATATTTGCTAATATATTGGCTAGTTTACAATTCCAATTAGCACCCTTCCGATTGATCAATGTACACAAGACTTATATATTTGTGTATAATACGCACTCGTCTGTTATATGTACCCTTAATTATGGGCAATTAAATTCTGGAAATATATACAGTGTATCTGTCATGTATAATACACACAGACTTTTCTTTTGTATCATTTCAGGCTGTCAGCATAAACCACAAAATTTTCGATATTTCAACTCTTTCACCAAAATTATATTTTGGGCGCTTATTCCGTCGAATATGGTATCTCACTCACAAGATCAACCCCTGTCAATTAACTCACTCATGAGACCGACCCCTGTCACTGAACTCACTAGACCAACACTCGTCTTTTAACTCACTCACAAGATCAACCCCTGTCAGTTAACTCTCTCACAAGATCAATCCCTGTCAATGGGAGTGTGGGTTCGAATCCCAGATGGGACTCAACCCAAATGAGTATTAGAATCTGTACTTTACAAAGAAAGTGTTATCCGAAATATAACATTTGTTACATTTGACCACTTTCTAAATGGCAGTGTGAATTTAAAACCCTGTCAATTTACTTACTCACAAGATCAACCCTTGTCAACTCACACACAATGCCTCCAAGGTCTTGTGGTAGTGTGTCCGCCCGGAGAGCGGAATGTCCGGCGTTTGATCCCCGGCCGCCTCATACCAAAAGACTTTCAAGATGGTACTTGTTGTTACCCTGTCTGGCGCTCGGCATTATGGGGCTAAGACAAGGACTGGTCGGCTCAGAGTCAGTATACTGTGTCTGAGTGGGGTATTGATGTTAAACTGTGGCATTGTATCTCAGTGAGCTAGCACTATAAAATAAATCAGCAGACACACACACACACACACACACACACACACACACACACACACACGCACAGAGTGAACCCTGTAGACACAATTCTCCTCGCTGCACTGTAATTTCCAAGAATCTCAGTTTCAAACACATTCGAGGAAAAAGAAAGTTTCCTTTCCCAGTATCAGTGTGCATCCTAGCCAGTATATACAATGTATTTCCTGATTGAATTTGACCTACTTAACCTGAAGTGGCCGTGATGGTGGTCATGTGCACGTTGTAGTTTCTAGACATGAAGACTCTCGGTCACGAAGCCATCGAGAAGATCCTTCAATATGTCAGAAGGTAGTGTTGGCCACTTTTTCATATCCCACCACATGTCTACTACTCTATGTAAGCAGTTTGTGACTTCATTGCCGCTAGCTGGAAGTCTGAGTATGGTAATACAAGTTTCAGCCTTGTAACCAATGTTTGATTTTGTTTGTTTGTTTGTTGTTTAACGCCGCACTCAGCAATATTCCAGCTATATGACGGTGGTCTGTAAATAATCAAATCTAGACCAGACAATCCAGTGACATTAATTATGAACATAAATCTAAGCAAATGGGATACGATGACATGCATCAACCAAGTCAGCAAGCCTGACCTCCCGATCCCGTTAGTCGCCTTTTACTGCAACAGCGTTAGAAATTGGCACTAGTCCTGTAATCCTTGCCAAACTGCCCAATAGTTAAGGTATCATAAGGACTAGTAGAAATTTGCCATTTTTAAGGGTTTTGCTATACCGTTATCATTATGAGAACTGGGGGACAAAAATGTTATTTTCTACAAGCATAGGTTGCTGAAGACCAGTTCTAACCAGGGATCTTCACAGGGGCAGTGTTGTTGGTTCAGTGATCACTTTGGGACCAATATTTGCACGCAACAGACTCCCGAAATAATTGCTTGGAATCCCCAGGACTCGCAAATAGAAACACCAAGTTTAATCTGTGATATATTCATTTCAGAACTCTCAAATGGATCATTAATCATGTAATTGTATATCTATCTTAATCAAATCATTAGATTATATAACACTTGGAGTAACTCTGGGTTGACAGCTGTTCATGTTTAAGTGAGTTTAGGCTAATGAAAAGACAGAGCCATGTTTACTGAGGTGACGTGTATGGCATAATATCACAGGGTTAGAAATTGGCACTAGTCCCGTAGTCCTTACCAAACTGGCCAATAGTAAAGGTATCCTAAGGACGAGTAGAAATTGGCCCATTTTAGGTACTTTGCTATATGTTATCATTATAAGGACTAGTGGACAAAAACTGTTAGTTTCTAACCCTGATATCAGTGTCACTTCCTGGTGGAAGTAAGCTGAATACACCTCATAGCAAGGGGCGGTCGGGTATCCTAGTGGTTTAAGCGTTTGCTTGTCACGCCGAAGACCCGGGTTCGATTCCCGACATGGGTACAGTGTGTGAAGCCCATTTCTGGTATCCCCCGCCGTGATATTGCTGGAATATTGCTAAAAGCAGCGTAAAACCATACTCACTCACTCACCTCATAGCAGTGGTAGTTTCTAGTAGAATTAAAGTTATGCGATTCACTGCCATGGCAATGTATACATGTAGTATGCAGTGAGATGTCTATATTAGTCGTTATTATGTACTGTAAGGACTTTTCACAGCAATGATTTATCTACAACTCCAGACTTAAGGGGGCCTTGCCAGCAAATAGGGAAAAAATATTATATTGTTCAAAAGTGGATTTTTTAGTGTTCTTTAGTGTTCTTATTTTGTTATTATTACTGCTCTTTCTGCAGATTTGGGGCTGAATATGGGCCCGTGGCAGGTCCAGATCATCTCTGGCTATATTCATTGGCCGAGTAGTTGCCTCATAAGGTCTATAGTTGTATAGACTAAGGCTTAGGTTTGATTCCCCACATGGGTACATTGCTGGAATATTGCTGAAACTCACTCACTCACTCACTCACTCACTCACTCACTCACTCACTCAATGTTTACACTTCTTTTCTTTTTCTAGAAAATCTGTTGTTTGTTTTTGTCATACTTATTTCTTATTCTTTTGTTACAGAGAAATCTTCAGGCTCCAAAATGTTGAAGAAGGCAAAATCATTCCGAGATGACATCAAAACGAAGATTAAGCGGAGGCCATCGACAGGGGCACAACAGATGATTCCTGAAAATAAGTCCCCGAAGAACAAGCAGTCAAAGGCCGTCAGCAGAACCAATAGCATGAATGAGGGGTCCAAAACAGACAGATCAGAAGACACAGACGTGAGTAGATTTACTAGACAAGTTATGCCCAAACAAGACACTTGTGTTCCAGGGGGCACGGGTGGCCCAGTCGTCTAAGGCGCCGCGATTCGCTGTGCAGAGTTACTTCCCCTGAACACACCAGAAACCTATGGTTGTGGGTTCGAAATCCCGGTTCACCCCGATTATGTTTCTAGGTTTGTCAGCACCACGCCCGTGCTCGTGGGTTTCACCGAAGTGGTAAACGTCTGAGACCTGCATCACTTCGGGCTTTCCTCCCACATTAAGCTGACACACCGTGATATAACTGGAATACTGTTAAAAGCGGCATTAAACCCAACTCACTCACTCACTTTTGTTCCAGGTCACCCGACCAACCCATTGTTTCACTTGTGCCCCAGATGTTTTATCACAGAGGAACATCCATCTTTTACGGTTGGAAACAAATTGGATGTTTTCACATATCATTGTTGCTATTATGACCTACATATTTAAGAAACATTGCAACTAACATCAGTTCTAAAGAAGCCATCTGTGGTAAAACAAAATGATATAAAATATCCTTATTACCAATATCTGTCGAGTCTTTCAAGTAATGTTTGACTTTAAACACACAATACCATTTTGAAAGTGGTGAGTCCTGTCCGGGATTCAAACACACACTGCCAGAGTGAGACACCTAATCGCAAGCACACAAAGTCAGCGATCTAACCCACTCAGCCAGCAAGACTTCAACCAAAATGAAAGTCCAACAACTGGTTGTCTAGATCACATACTTTGTGTACCCCTCTGACAAGTAAATTGGCACCGCTCCCATGGCCGAAAGCTATGAACACACACTGCCATTTAGAAAGTGGTCAAATGTAGCAGATGTTACACTATTTGACTTATTATGACAGTATTATGCAATCAGATTTAGCAGTTGGTTGTTAGATAACCAGTAGAACTGTTTTGACTCAGATTCACATAACATGATTGAACATTTAGAAATATGCAGTAGGGCTGGGACAAGTCCAAATTTACTATCCAGGTACCCACCACGCTATTACCCGACCTTTTCCGGATACCCGCTATATGTCTCAAGACTTGGGTGTAAAGTCTGATTGGGAATAATTTGACCGTAGCCCTGGTAAAATTTAGATACACGTATCTAACGATCTTGTCATGCATACACTGAAGTTGACTAAAGTTTTATCTTTATTCAAACCTATAAAGGTCAGAAGGAATGGGTGCATAGTCAGACAGAAATGCGAACAATTGTGACTTGTAGTGTAACCATAGTTTTAGATATTTTTTGTCAATAAACAATATATCACATGACTAACCACGGGTCCGGGTAGTCCTGTGGGTCCTACTCAGTACCCACCTGATCTGAGTACCCGAGTTACCCGTCCCAGCCCTAATATGTTGTCCCATTTTTTGTCTTTCTAAAAAAGGTCAATTTTATGAAAAGTCTCTCCCACCTGACATTTTCTACATTTTAGTTGAACACTCGTTCTGTAGATCAGTCTTGTGGAGTACAAGCCATTATTGGTGCTGCTCTTGGCATCTGCATTGTACGGTCAGAATAATTATTTAGTTTTTAGAATCATATCACAGATAGGAACATGTTGGGATAATTCACTATTGATATGGAATGCATTGCTATGCATTGTCTTGGAATCAAGGGACATAACTCCTATGACCTAGGACAGGGCTTCCTTCACTATACACAACAGACAACAAACACAAAAATATGATACAAATATAGGATATAATGTAAACAAACAGTCCATTACTGTTAATTGGCAAGAATTTAATCAATAATTGCTTTATCAAATTGAATGGCAACACTTAATATCTGTTATTACTTAAGACAAGTACCGTATTCGACGTGATAAGCGCCCAGGGCGCTCTCAAAATTAGAAATAGGGGGCTCTTATTAGAACATTATTTTCAGTTGTAAGATCGTAAATTTCGTGGTTTATGCTGACAGCCTGAAATGTTTATTTACAACAGATATATTTTTCCAGAATTTAATTGCCCATAATTAAGGGTGCATATAACATACGAGTGCGTATTATACACAAATAAATAAGTCTTGTGTACATTAATCAATTGGAAGGGGTGCCAATTGGAATTGTTCACTAGCCAATATATTAGCAAACATCGCCGTGGGCGCTTATTAGAGCAGGGCGCTTATTACGTCGAATACGGTAATATTAATTCTAGGATTTGATCAAAAAAGATGTGATGTCTGAAATAAGGGCCGCAAACTTTTGAGGAAATTTAAAGTTTCCATTTTCGCAGGTTTACAATTATTTTTTAAATATCAATCTGTCTTGCTGTAGCCAGTTATCTGTGTGTGGAACTCTAATGAGCTGTATTGGACAAATGTTAATGTGGCAATTAGCCGGCTATTTGTTAATTGCATGTTCGGAGATGTTGTGGTATTTGGGCTTTTTATTCGTAGCAGATTGTCGAGTATGAATGCTGACACATGTGACAAGTATTCGTGTCAGTAGGATAGGTATTGCAAGCATCTGTCAAACCTGACAGTCACAGTAGTTGGCACATGTGACAATTATCCAGTCAAATTACTCCCTGAAGAAACATGTGACATTTACCAGATTCGGCGGTAATGTTATTTGTCCATGGTTGTGAATGTTGTCTCTCGAAATAATTGAGTCAAATGGTTATGAAGTAGGAAGACTAGAAGTTTGATTTCTAAAAGTTTGATGTATTCTTAATCTGATTGCCTTTGTGGTCTAGCGGTAGAGCGTCCGTCTGGAGAGCAGGAAGTGCAGGGTCAATCCCTGGCCGTGTCTTAAAAGATGTTAAAAGATGGTACTTGTTGTTACCCTGCCTGGGGCTCGGCATTAAGGGGAGAAAACAAGGACTGGTCAACTCGGAGTCAGTATACTTTGTCTGAGTGGGGTATTCATGTTAAACTCCGGCTTGGTATCTCAGTGAGCTAGCACTATCATCTCGGCTTTAGTCCAGAATAATACAAGCCAAGGCCGCAGTGCGGGCAAATATTTGTACAAGTATCACTTGTCCCCAACTTGTATTTTCATGATTCAAATAAAACTGCTTTCTATAAAAAATACCGTTTTGACCAAACAAGACATTAAGGTCAGAACTATTTTATCTAATGTATATTCAGGAAAAAAATATGTATTAAAAAAATATTTTATTTTTTTTAATTTGCATCACAAGTTAAATATAGCATTGTATATTTATAACATTAAAAATTAAAATATTCATGGTAGGTTTGTCTGTAGGACAACGAGTATTTAGTGATTGCAGACTGAAATGGATATCATGGCTTTTTGTACCTGTGCTCTTTTTTCTCCACAGGGATCTGTGTCACTTGGGGCTTTCTTCAGAAATTGAACTTTGGTATGACTAAAATAGTTTTATGGATGGCTTTAAACCAGATTCACTAACAAAGTAGACACAATTTATGAGTAACAAGTTCTGTCGTGTGATTAATTACATTAAAGAGGTTGTTATCCATAAATTGTGTCTACTTCGTCATCCATCAACCTTTAAGAAATGCCTATCAAACAATCCCTCATTGAAAATATTGTCCTTTGGAATACCTGTTTTATCACTTCCTGTACAGCAATAGTATGATCAGTTATTATATCCTTATTCTTTGACTGAAAAACAACTACGGTTTAAGATGATGTGTTATAATGAAAATGGTGAAATATCCTTACCTCTTCCCTTCCATCAGTGTGTAAGAAAACTCAGTCTGAATGATGCAGGCTCCGCTGCCCTCTCTGCGTCTGCCAGGAGCTCCCGAGGAGCTTCAGTGCACGGGGCTATTTCTCAGTAATCTCAACCAACTTTCCTACACAGGAAGGCTGTGTTTTCTGTTACACTGATTTTTATTTTCCTCCAACTGTTGATATAAAAGTATTAAACACTGTGTGGCAGAAACACGTCTGTATATAGAAGAGAGATGGGGAGCCGATTGTGATGTGTTTATCATGTTTATGGAATAATTGAAGTTTGTGAAAAAGTAAACGGTGACTGCCGAGTGGTGCATGCTGGGAGTGATGGCAGGGTAGTGAGTTCACTCCGATATCTTTTAGTGAAATGACAAGTCAAAATATCCACAAGAAGTAAGATAAAAACAATTTCAATCTATTTTTGTTAGCCAGCTCTGTCTGTGACTTTCGCCACTATTCCGAAGCCTGAGTCTAGTAAAATTCTGTTCAGTCCAGTAAGGTCAGCTAATAGATCTACTGAACATGATGTTAAGAGCCTTGTTTGGGCTAGTGGACTTAAAAGTGTTTGGCACAAACTGAAGTCTTTTCTTTAAGGGGGCAATGGGGTAGCCTAGTGGTTAAAGTGTTCGCTCATCATGTCGTAGGCCCTAGTTCAATTCCCCACAACATGTGATGCCCATTTCTTGTGTCCCGATGGGGTAGCCTAGTGGTTAAAGTGTTCGCTCATCACGTTGTAGGCCCTAGTTCAATTCCCCACAACGTGTGATGCCCATTTCTTGTGTCCCGATGGGGTAGCCTAGTGGTTAAAGTGTTCGCTCATCATGTCCTAGGCCCTAGTTCAATTCCCCACAATGTGTGATGCCCATTTCTTGTGTCCCGATGGGGTAGCCTAGTGGTTAAAGTGTTCACTCATCATGTCCTAGGCCCTAGTTCAATTCCCCACAACGTGTGATGCCCATTTCTTGTGTCCCGATGGGGTAGCCTAGTGGTTAAAGTGTTCGCTCATCATGTCCTAGGCCCTAGTTCAATTCCCCACAACGTGTGATGCCCATTTCTTGTGTCCCGATGGGGTAGCCTAGTGGTTAAAGTGTTCGCTTATCACGTCGTAGGCCCTAGTTCAATTCCCCACAACGTGTGATGCCCATTTCTTGTGTCCCGATGGGGTAGCCTAGTGGTTAAAGTGTTCGCTCATCACATCGTAGGCCCTAGTTCAATTCCCCACAATGTGTGATGCCCATTTCTTGTGTCCTGATGGGGTAGCCTAGTGGTTAAAGTGTTCGCTCATCACGTCGTAGGCCCTAG